AAAGAATTCGAGACTAGTTTTTGGAAGAAAAATGACAATGATGCCGGCAACGACAAGAGAAGGTCCAGCCAACTGTCGATCACCGAGGCAGTAGGGATGTTCTGGTTTCATTAAAAGAAAAGGAGAAGGTTATGGAGAATGTTTTCTAGAAGAGGAGTGTCAAATGAAGTTTAAAAAAAAAAAACTTGGGCTATATAGTGAAACCAAAAAAAAGAGCCATCAGCTAAAGACCTATACATGATCCAACTCAACCCGCATTTCAAACCTGATGCAACTCTGCTAGGCTCACCTTCGACAAGGCCCAAACTGTTTTCAACCCAGCAACTTAGTCTATTGGGGTTAATGGATGGTGGACTTTAGATCCATCAATAGAAGTTTTGTTGGGTAAAATTTCTTTGCTTTGATTATTCTATCATGCATTCATTTATTTACTTATTTCTTTTTTGCATGCATGCCATTAATCAATGATACTTTGTAAAATTAAAAATTATGAGTGCTTATGTTAGTGTTATATTTTTATATATAATTTTTTCTCACGAAATAGTTATTATATTATTTAGAAAATAAAAATATAAGATAATATTTTTATAAAAAAAAAATTAAAAACATTGCCTAGATATTAGAGGAATTCAAATCACATTTTGAAAGATTAATTTTCTTGAATTTCGCTTAGATGTTAGGAAGTTAAAGAAAATTTTCCTTTATAAAATAAAATACAATTTCTTTCATCCTTACTTTCATTTTAGAATATAGATGATGATAAAAAAATAAGATTAAATATGCATAAGATGGATCAAATTGGTCATTTAAACTTTTTAATTCGTACTTGCATCATTTATTTTTCTCTTGTTGTATTAAAAATAAAACCTTTAAGGAAAAAATGAAATTATGAAAACTGAGCTTGTTTCGAAAGTTTGCTTAGATGTTGAGGATGATTAAGAAAATTCGAGTTATCAACAAATTTCATTTTTCACAAAAAAAAAAAAAAACAAACCCTAAACCAAGACACCAAACCGTAAATCTAACCCACAACCCCAAATTATTAAACCCTAGAGCTACTCAAACCCTAAAAAATCTTAACCTATGCCAACACCAAAAGCCATGCCAAATTTGAAAATTTTGTTTAAAAATCTCATATGACGTAATATATTCTCAAATGCCCTCTAGAAGATTGAGTATTTAAAAATTTTTATTTCATTAAGCTTTTAGCATGATTCCTTAACCAAATAATAATAAGGTCAAACAAAGAGAAAATAAAAATGGGATCTTAAATATAAAAAGTCGTACATAAACTCTATCTAGAGGTTAAAGAGTCCAAGTGATCTCTTTATATTTAAGGACTCAATTTCAAAAACTTTATCTCATCATCATGCATAACATCAATTTGCGTGTATTAATTTTTAGATTGTTGGTTACATTCATCCACATGCTGATGTCTTTTAACCTTTTACTATTTGTTTGTTAATTATAGCATCATCAGTTTTTTTCTCTTTTTTTTACAGAAAATTTTTTTCCCATTTTTCTACATAAAAATATCTTTTTTTTTACAAATATTGTTGTTCAAAAAATAGATTTTGAAATAAAACAAAAATAACATTCCAAATAAAATAATTCTTGGTACTCTACCTAGATGTTCGAGAGTCACCAACAATTATCATCTACAAAAAATGTTATTTTTATTTTAAGGAATGTCACGATAAATCTTAGGTAAAAAAAATTATCTTTAAATTCTGCCTTGATGTTAAAGAATTTTAAGATAATTTTTTAACTTAAAAATTTTCGCAATATTCCTAAATAAAGATTTTTAATAAATTTGATTTTTTTTAAGTAAAAGGAATTATTATTAAATTTCAAATTGAAACAACTTTTTATCTAATACCAAAGATAACATATGGGTAATTGGTCTAGTTTTTTTAAATAAGCATTGTAGGAGTGTTAATCTTTCTCTATGCCTAATTATACTTTCAAACCCTACTTTATTTTCAAAGATCAAAAATATCTTTTTAATAAATTTTTAATTCTTTTTTTTTGTTTTATTAAAAAAATAAAAATTTTAAATAGCTAATCACACCTAACAAAAAAAATTAATAGCAACTCTATTTTTCTCAATTTCTAAAATTTTTACATCTTATGGTCGGGGGTTCATAAACCCCCATACTGCAACACATATTTCCCATTTTCTCTCCTCTTTTTTTTTTTTTAATTTGGATTGATTTTTTTTTTGTTAATAAGTATGAAAAATAATAATCTTTTCTATTTTCTTTCCTATCATTTTTCTTTCCTTTTCGAGCACACCTAAAATCTATTTTCTTTCCACTTTTCCATCCACCCATTTCCATTCTTCTACTTTTCAGTTGTACCAAGCACAACCTAAATGCCTAAAAACCAAGCAATCACCACCACTGGCACCACTATATGTTGTTGTTGTTGGTGCCAAAGACCTAAAATAAAATTGGTTTTTGAATCTTCACATCTTCTTCTTCCTTTTTCAACCTATAATCCTCCAAAATTTTTTCAAAAAATCTTAGATCGAAATCCAAAACTGAAATATTGGCGTTTATTCTCTCTACTTTCCATCACTTACAACTTCAAAAAAAACTAAAAATTCTTCCACTTCCTCTCCTATAATCTAATATCAATTTGAAAAGCACAAAGACCCCCAAAAGCCTTTAGATCGAAAGCCTCACCAAAAATTATTTTGCCTTTTTGAATTTTGATGCATGAACAGTTGTTGTTGCTTGATTGTTTTATGGGTGTGTGCTCGATTGTTGAGTTTTGGTTTTTGTTTATGCTTGTTAGATATAGGACATTGCTAATGGGTTCTTGCTAGATTGATGGAATTTAGGTTTGCCTCTGTCGATTGCTTCTGGTTGTATCTAATTTTCACTATTGTTTGTTATGTTGGTCTTTTTTTTGTGTATTGACCCCCTTATTCAATCAATCGCTCAATTGAGATCAGTTGTTGATTGTCGATCTTCCTTCTAGGTTTTCTGTCTATGTCCTTTATAGCCGATTGCCCTCTGTTTCCTTGCAAGCCAATTGTTGTCCTCCTCCTTATTAGAAGTAAGAAAAAAATTGAAAAAACTAAAAACTAATTCAAAATCGTAGTGTTTGATTCGATTTGAATAAATTTTTTTTTATTCAATCGGGATTAAGTTCGATATTAAATGTATATATTAGGTTCAGATTAGATTTCGAATCAAAAAGTAAAAAAATCAAAAAATGAGAAATGGTAGAATTTTATTAGCTTTTATATATTTTTTAAAATTTTTATAAAAAAATAATTATTTTATACCTAAATCTATTTAAATATATTAAAAATTATATTAAAATAATATATAAAAAATTTAAATTTTAAAAATTAATGAACTAAGTCAAACTGATAGAATTTAATTTAAGTTAGATCATATAAAAGTTTGATTCAAATTTTAAAAATTTATAATTCTATAATTATTTTAAAAAAAATCGAATTGAATCCGATCCGAACCATTATCAGTTTTATTCCTTATTTGTGAATTGTTCTTCTAATTGTTAATTAAAGCTTCAGCTTTATTTGAAAATTAGGGTCTACTACTTTCTACCGAGTTTTTTCCCCGTAAGCTTGATTGTGGTCCTTTTACATTGATTCAAACCCAAAAATTAAAAGAAAAATTTTAATGCCATTGAATCTGTCAATTTCGGATCTTTCTAGATCATTTTCCTTTCTCGTAAGGATTGATGGTCAAGAAATTCGAAAATCATATTTAATCATTAATATCAAGTCTAGACTAAATCAAGGAATCAAATTATCCAAAAGTTTCTCACATTTTTCAACTTCGACTTTCCTCTTCATTTTTATTTTTGATCTTTTATTTGATCAAATAAAAATAAAAATAAATAAAACATAAATTAATATAATGAATAAAAAAAAACTCTTTGGTGCTTTTTAATTTGAATTTAAAATCTAATTTAATAATTAAAAGTACAATATCATATTAAAACTTGAAGCTTAAGAATGTTTAAAAGATTAGACAAAATGAGATATTTATAGCATCTATTTATATTAATCTCAAATTTATTGAATATCATATCTTAAAATGATCGTATAAATTAACTTATCTAAATTTTGGTTCAATTTTTTTTTAAAAAAAAAAAATGGATAAAAAAAAGGCCTTGAAAAGAATATGCAGAAAGGGTGAACGACGTCGTTTTTACTATTTTGGAAAACAGCAGTTGTTGCAATTTCCCTTTGTGTAAACAAGTGGCAGCTAGATCATGCAACTAATAGGTGGATCGTGTTAGACAGAGTTCTTCCTCTTTTTTATTTTCTTATAGTTTGAACTTGGAAACAGCTTTCCTTGTTCATGGGTTTCCCTGGTGGATGTTGGCAATTCAAATTTGTAACGCTATCAGTTTTTTTTTTTTTTTTTCCATTCTTAATTCCTAAAACCAAGGCATGAAGCATGAACTATACACTCACACTTTCACTTCTCTTTATTCTGTGAAACCAATGAATTTCTTGTGTGAAAGCAATGAATCTTCTTTATTCTTTAACATCACAAATTTTAGCTGCATAAACTTGTTTGTTTTATTTTTTGGCTTAATCTCAACACTTAGAAACATGGTGGATGCAATAATTTAAAAAAAAAAAAAAAACCTTATATTCGTTAACCTGTTGCTTGAAGTTGGGACAAAAAAGGTTCTATTATATTAACAGATTTTTTTCTGCCACGAAAAGCCTAGCAAGAGATTTGTTCTTTTTTTAACTAAAGTAAGAGTTATATATAGGTGTCAGCAGCAGCTGTGGGATTATAATATTACAGTGATTGATTAATTATTGCCTGATGTTTGGCTTCTTCTTTTCTTATAAGAAAAACCTTTTCTGTGTTTGATGTCACAGCTGGGATATCCTGCTCATGCTAGAATACCGGAGTGCTCCTCTTTATAGTAAGTTAGAATCTTGTTTAAGACTGAGATACTAATGGCAAGCAAACCAGTTGAACTGATAGTCACTACAAGAAAACAGGGTGTCCGTCTGTATTACTCGCTTTTCTTGAAAACATTTTTAGCGACAATCTGTCGGTAATGCCATTCCATCGGTAATGATATGCACCTTTTCTTAATGGTAGTAATACTATTTTTAAGAAAAACTGGCATACCGTGCCGTTGTCACAGAACATATTGTTTTGAGAAGATAGCTAAGAATCTGCACTACTCAGTCCTTCAATGTGGATAAACTAAACAGAATAGGAAAATGCAAAATCAAATTGGCAGCCTATTGTACTAGATTGACAAAAGATGCTGCCTATGTACTTCCTTCAGGAATATGCATTTAAGATCTAGATTGAGATACTGTTTGGGATTCCCTTGCCAGTAAGTCCACCCTCTCTTGAGTAATCTGAGGTGTTAGGATATAGTAAGGTATACGGCATCTTCACTGGTCCAATTCTGTTTTTCAGTCTATTGTCATTGTTTCTTTCCATAATTCTGTTTTCGATTTCTAACAGCTTCTTTCCGAATCTTTCAAATGCAGCTAACGGTTCAGCATCTGTAGTCCATTCAGGAGTGTCTCTCTGCCCAAGGTATATTTCATCGGCCGAATGCCGGGATAAAACCTCTATAAGGGACACACCAAGCAGAGTTTGGAACTGTGCTGTGATTGTTTTCAGGAAGGCCAAGTCAGGGTCCTTCTCAAGTTCATCATATTCTGCAGTGCCTGGTTCTGGCATGAATCGACGGCTAACTGTTGGCCTGTTAGGGAGGTAGCCAGCATAAGGGTATTGTCCGAAATTGACAGCTGCATGGAAAGCAGAAGCAATCCATATGATAATTGTGCATGCTTGAATGAGCTCAGATCGTGTCTTCACCTCAGGCCACCATGGTTCGTCTTTCAAATCACCATGGCCCTCATTTCGAATCTCTGTCCACCAAGTTTGGATTTCAGTATCCTCTTTCACTACTTCATCTGAGGCGTAGTAGAAAGAGCAATACTCAGAGACCCAAGTTTCAATGGCTGACCAGATTTCTAACCCGTCAACAGCATAAGGATAATCCTCTATCAGAAGTTTGAGGCCACTGGGGCAGCTTGAATCTGGAATCGCTATTCCTCTGAAATGAAGGGTTGAAAGGTGGTTGCTTAAAAATCCATTTCGGTAAAGACCAAATAGAGAAGCTTTTATAAATCTGTGGCTTACCTCTTTATTAGATCAACAGGGAGAGCCTGGTCAGTGAACACCCAATTCCTGTAAATAGTAGCAGACATTTCCAGTGCATATTTACCCGGAAAGACTGTCAACTCAAGCACCCCGCCAGCATTGATGAGGGTCTGTCGGGCCAAAGCATTTATGTTCATTGTGTCACGGAAGTGGGGATGCAAGAGCTTATATATGGGGTGAACCACACTCAACTGTCTATTACTTGCAATTATAAATGGCTCAATTACAGCGTGGGTATTCAACCTGCAAACATGGCAGAAGCATTGTAAATGACAACTTCCTACTTTTACTACGTGGAGCATTGATATTTCAGCATCATACCAATGACAAACGAGCTGGTGGTAGCCAGAATCATTCACAGCAGCATAAGCTTTGGCCAACTGCCAGACTGAACCTTCAATACCGTCCTCTGCTGGGGTGAAAACTTTGCTGACAGCACCATGACTGTCTCCTTGTGGATGTGGCAAGCTCAACTCAATTACCAATGGCTTCAATGTGTCATCATCTTGCAATAAGAATAGAGTTCTCGTGGCATAAGTCTTTGTGCTAGTGGAATTTATCCGCCTCAGGTATGGCATCAATGCATCATGATGATTCAATATAAACAGTTTGTTTCTCTCTAGAGCCTGAATTCAATATGATCAAAGCAAACATCGGAAAACCAATTAGTAATCTAGCGAGAAACAATACAAGCAAATCACTAGCAATCTGATAACACTAGCAAAACAGAAGGGTATGAATAGTACTTCTTCCACAGTGAGTCCATTCATATTCCTCTCAATGTGTTCCTTCGTAATGGTACTTTTCTGGTTCCCATATGCTTTAGGATCAAGCTTGCTGGCTGGGGGAAATTCCTACAGAAAGGTTATACTTATACTTAATGATATAAGCAGGAGAATACAAATGTTTTTTGACATTAGGAAGAAATAGAAGAACATTAATATGAGCTATTTAACAGGAATGTTATATTTACTTGGAGTCGACTAATGATAACTGGGTTGACTCCAGCTAGAGTTTCTCGTGCAAACTCTTCATCTGTCCTCCAAGCAGACCTATCCTCTGTAACCACACAAGGCAGCACACATAATTTGTAAGTGATATATATATATATATATATATATGCAACAAGTATTGGTGTAGCAGAACCCAACTTCTTTGGAATTGGAATTAAGGCTTAGATAAGTTGGATTAACTTGGAACAGAGCAGCCAAGAAATGTAGTGGGAAATTTTTCTATATACCTTTGATCACAGCAGGCATTGGGAATTTCATCAATCTCTCACCATCATTACGAACAAGTTCCCTGATCATCTCCCAAGGGAGGCAATCCCTTATCTTCTTAATAGTTGCATCATTTGGTAGTTTTATACCACCTTCATAAAGATCAAGTACATCTTGAAAGGAATCAAACTCATTAAAGGTTTTGTCACATACAGCTGCAATCTCGGGGATCAATATCTGGAACAGAGATTTCAAAGCATAGGCAAGAAAATCTGAAAACTTGACCAGGTTAAACCTTTCATCTCGTGGAACATAAATGTTTAAGCTTAGAAGAAATAGTCTGCTCTCTGTATTGGGATCTGTTAGAATGGAAAAATATTAGATTAGATTGCTTACTAAAACATTGAATCAAATGTTTCTTATGCCAAGATACTTATAGATCACCTGACCTTTTTTGTGTGGTTTCCGACCTGTTCTCCCTCTTCTGGGATATGGACACTCCAGGGATCCGCCAAGAACTGGACGAGTAAACTTTACACCCTTTTCTGGCATTGCCAAGTCATTGTAGTAATCATAATCATAAACTCTGTCCCATTCTTTGAGCTTTCCTTTTCCATTTCCTCGGAGATTTACTAGTTCTTCTTCCCTATACTTGCGTAAGGGTTCAGGTGTTTGACATGGAAGGTAGGTCTAAACAAATTTATCAAAGTTGTGTATTAGTGCATCTGCTTGTTGTGTCACCCCAAATCCCAACAACCAAACCAAAATTTCAAAATTACTGGCTGGTTGGACACCTTAATCACATAATTATCTTTTTCACACTTCATCTACTATTTATACCTTTCAACTTTAACTAACAATAGCAAGCATCAATCTGGCATTCATTTCTCGGGGATCCAGGATTTTTTTTTGAGAGACATCAACTTATAATATATATATATATATATATAATATTATACAATTATCCCATGGATCATTAATTTTATATCAATTTCATGGACAGAAAAGATGTTAACTATGAAATTCTTTTTTCCAAATTTTCTTTTTTTCAATCTTTGTGGTGTCTATAAACATACTCTCTACTTTTATATTTATATATATATATATGGATCTGCCTTCTCTTTTTTACATTTTTAGAAAGCACAGGTAAATGATTTTTGCTTGGAACAAATCTTTAACAGTGTGAAGCTTAAGTACGGCATTGGGAGACATGGCGTGTGAGTGGGAATTATAAAAGAAAATCCAGAAGGAAAACGACAGTTAAGGAAAGTGTAGTTCTACCTTTAAGGTCAATAAAGTATGATTTTGCCAAGGTAAACATGTCAAGTGCAAAATGAAATATCAATAATTGCATTAAAGGTAACAATCATGTTTGGAAGCACGAGCATTGGCTACTAGTATGGTAGGAATGACTATTCGTCGCATGAACATTAGGCATCAACCCTTTACCTTTACACTATCCGTTGAACAAATGGTCAATAAATATTATGGAAAAGATCTAAGTTTTGTCCCATTTGTTGTGTTAAATTTGAAAATGAAGTTACCTTGTTGGAGAAGAAGACCCGATCATACTTGTAGCGATGTGCTGGATAGACCCAGGAATTGCAAACAAAATGTAGCCGGCCATGACCAGGAACATCTTCAAGAGTGACTGTCCTGAGGTAGATCTGGCTGTGGTGATGGTTTTTTATTATGAAAGCCCCAGGAACACCCATGGATTCATCCCAGTCAAATGTTACAGAAAACCTGGTTTCTCCTGCTGTTAATGGCGTGATTGTCGCGACCCACTTCTCCAAATATGCTGGCTTTCCAAGCTTCCCTTGCATCCCATTTGCTGAACACACGTGTGTTACAATTCAGTAACAAACTCACCAAATCTAATATTCTTCTTCCCCTTACTTGCAAGATTTAAATAAGCAATGCAACAAAGACTGAGTGGACATTGCTTAAAAGACTGAATTAAATCAATCTCTATTTTTTAAGTTCTTGCATCCAGCAAGCAAGAAACATTGTAAGGAAAAAAAAAAAAGAAAATACCAGGCATGGTCAGTTAAATTATGCTCAAATTTTATCAAATTGAGCTCAAATGAGAAGAAAACGAAGGAGCCAAAGAAGCAAATTGAAAACCAGTAATATCTTATCAAATTTCATTTTTGAAAAGTTCCTCATGTTAACCACCATGATTGCAAAGTCCTCCTCTGTTTACTCTTGTTACCGGAAGATTCCAAGAAAGTCTGATACAGAGAGAAGAACAGAGGAAAAAGAAAAAAAGAAAAGAAAGAAACTAACCAGGGTCGGTATTAACAGCACTGATAAGCTGCAAAGAAATACCCTTGCCAAGAAGCTCATGAACTCGATCAAGTAAAGAAGCTTTGAGATCATTCATGTCCAACACATTTTTTTTCATCAAAACGACTGTTCCTTTGATCTTCTTCTTCTCCTTGCTCTCTTCCACCATGCCTTTAGCCTTTGTTTTTGGCTTTGCACAGAACTTCACCATTGCTTTATTGAACATCTTTGAACTTGGACAGTACCCCATGAAAGCTAGCTCTCCAGTTAAGCTACCAGAACAGAAAACCCAAACAAAGATTACTCTTTTATATCACTTGGTTGATAATGAAATGAATGTAAAGAAGGAAACAGGATTTTTTTTTTTTTTTAAGGCAAAGGTTTTAAGTGAGCTTGGATCAAAATGTGGAAAGAGGTTTTCTCTGGTTTTCTTGACTTGAGCAAAACTTGGAATTTGATGAACACATGAGGGTTTTAATTACTTCCCCAAGGCAACTAATGACACTGTTCATAGTATCCTTTTTTTAATTTTTTCTATTAATTTTGATTGGAAGCATTTCTTATCGTTATCTCTTTATTAGTAGATAATCAAAGGACCTGATTCCGCCCCAATGGGTCCATCCATGGTTATTGGTCTACTCATGGAATTTTTTTTAATAAAGAAATACCACCACATTTATTTCTTTTATACTATACAACTAGCAAACTACAAAAAAATACATACTGCATTTTGTACATGATTTTTATGCCATATTTTATACTCCTTCCGTAATGTTTTATTTGTCCACCTTTTCTTTTTTAAATGTTTTAAAATTATGTTTTTTAATACTTAAATATCTTACTATTTTAATACTTAAAAACGAGATGGCAGATCCATATGTATCTTTGATTATTAAGGAAGTATGGGTGCCATTGACTTAATTTGCTATGGATATATCATCGATTTCACACTTCCGAAAGTGATAATCTCAAAAAATATTTAAGTATGATGATATAGGAGTTTTTGAGATCTTTCTCCCCAAAACACAAACAAATGCATTTAAATTGTGCACGAAACTATGAATTAAGTAATATTAAAGATGTTAAAAAGTTGTTAAACCTAATCAACTTTAATTAAAATCAATAAATAAAGTTATGGCAGATCATCAGCCAAAGATTCCAAGTCACCTGGTAAAGTTGAACATCTTCCTTCAATTCCCTTGTTACTTCAGCTTGCATATGTTTTATCTCCACGCTCAACATGCCTAATCAAAATATTTTGCCTTTCTTAAAAGCGAGATTTTGATTATAATAACAACTTGAAAGCATAATAAACTATCTTCTAGCTTCTATCATCTTAATTTTATCCACAATTTTTATTCTAAATCTAACACCGAAGTACTGAATCTCTTTGCGGAAACCTTTTTTTTTTTTTTTATTTCTTTTTGCATTTTATAAAGGTTGAATAATATTGCAATTCAAACTATAATTGACTCTAATTGGTATACCAATTTATATTATAAATTAAATTATCTTTTGAATCAAGATTTTTATTTTTGGGATAGTACTAAGAACATTTGAATCTTCTCAATTTTAAATTTTTTTCGATTTTTAGAACAATACTAAGAACATATGAATTATATTCCTATAATTATCTTATACATCACTTTGTATAATAACTAATGATCTCCATCCATAAATAGTTCAAAATTAAAATTTTAAATCCATCAAATTAATATAAAAAATTTATCTTTAAAATAATTTTTTTAAAAAATATTTGATCCAAACAAAACTTTGAAGTGACCAAATACCAGTATTTAAAAAAAAAAATCAATTAATGATATTCTGATCTAACTTTGTGGACAAGATCAAGGGAGGTGTCCTTATTATGATGCTATACAATCTCACAGCATATAAAATGAGATAGTTTGATGATGGAAAATCCAATGAGCTTATCATTAGTTTGATGATTGAAAATCCTCTTAGCTTATCATCTTCATATGTAAATTATAAATTTATTAATTAATATAATATTTATTTTTAATATAATTAATTTTAAATGATAACATATAATGAATAAATAATTTTTTAAATATTACATTAATTAATATATTTATTTTTAAAATATCACATTAAAAATTTTAAACTCATATTAAAAATTCTTAGTCACATGATATTAACCCAAGTATGAATCATAATTTTGTGAAAAATTGGGTAAAAATAATATTTTCTCCATCCCAAGTTATTTGAACAGTATTGATTTTCCTAAAATTAAAAAAAATTTGAATTTAATATATTTAATATTAAAATTAAAATTTTTTTATAAAATTAAAATTTCATAATTTTTAATATCAAAAAGTAAAAAAAAATTTAAATATAAAAAATTTTATATATTTAAATATATATAATTTTAAAACACTCTAAAAATTAAAAAAAAAAAAAAAAAAGGACGGTGGGAGAACTAACAAGACAAGAAAGAAACAAAACAGAAAAGGTTTCTGTCTTGGCGCCCACGTACTTTGTCACAACTGCCAGAAATGTGCAATGTGACAGGGGAAGCAGGCCAGGAAGTCTAATATGGTATATAAAAAAGTTAAATTATGTTGGAGGTGATAATATAAATTTTAAAATAAAGAATTTAATATTTTATTATAAATTTATATAAATTTAATTTTTATATTACTTTTATTTTATAATTTTAACTCTATTACTAATTTCCTCAAAATATTATCGATAAAAATATTAACATCACCTTTCACTCGATAACGTGGATGTTCATTTTATTGACATAACATTGATTTTGATGATATAATAATTTGAAAGGTTTAAATCAATTATTAAATTATACAAATATTTTATGTATCAAAAAAATTTAAACTTTAAATTTTTTAGTATAATTTCAGAATTTTTATTTTTATACAAGTTAAATTTGATAATGCTAATTCAATTGCTAATAAAAATCATATTTTTTGAATTTTTTAAATAAGATTTAAAATTTTTACAATTTTTCCATGCACTTTTAAAATATTAAATTTAATAATTTTAAACATTTAATTTTTTTAAAGTACCATTTTTTTCTAAAATTATATTTTATTTCTTGGAAATTTTCAATTTTTTATTTATTAGAAATTTTATATATTTTATAAAAATAGTAAATTTATTTTTTTGATATTATAATTTTTTAAATTTTTTTGTATTTCTTTTAAAATTTTATCATTTTTATTTAATCAAAATATTAAATTTTATTGTTTTTAGTTATTTGGATTTTTTATAAAATTTTTATATTTTATATTTGTATGATTAAATAAAAATAGACTATATAAAAATTCCAAAAAATTTAAAAATAAAATATATTTTAATATTTTAATTAAACAAAAATGTTAAAATCTTAAGAAAACAAAAAAAATTCAAAAATGAATTTTACTTAAAAATTTTAATATATTGAAAGAATGAATTTAATATTTTTAAAAATCAAGAAATTTTCTAAAAAAATTCAAAGTATGGAATTTTTTTTAAAAAAAATCTGATTATAAAAATAAAAGTAGTATTTTAAAAAATTTAAATAATATTAAATTTAATATTTTAAAAATGTGAAAAAAATTCTAAAAAATTAAAAATATTATCTTTTAGAAAAATAAAAGTTGATTGAAAAAAAAAATTAAAAGATATAATTTTTATTAGTAATTAAGATCAATATTATCAAATTCAACTTATACTAAAATTAAATTTTCATGAATTACAATAAAAATATTAAAGTTCAAATTTCACGAGTCATCAAAATCAACACCGTTTGAGTAAAATCAACATGCATATCAATATTTTTAACAGTAAAATTTTTATAAAATTAATGAACAAACTAAAATTATCAAATTAAAATAAAATAAAAATTAAATTTTAAATTTTGATAAAAGACAAAACCTCTAAAAGAATTTAAGCTAACAAAAAAAACAAAAAGCACATTCCTGCATGCAATTATAATAGCACCATCATTGCCCATCTGAGCTACATAGTTATAGTAACCGTGTAATAATGAGTTATGGCACACATAATAATGAGGGGTCCTCTCCTCTGTCGTTGTAGCAACCATATAATAATGAGGGGTCCTCTCCTCTGTCCTTATATAGACTAATCTTTTTGTCCAAAATATATCATCTTCAATTTGACTAGGAATGGGATTAGGGTTTAATATATTCTAATATTTGCATAGTTTTGCAAAGTCCTAATTGAACAATACTGTAGACATTGTTCTTTAAGAATCAAATTGGGATAAGAAAAAAAACACTCCCTATGCTATGCTTAACGGGGTGTTTGATTTTAAAAAATTAGGTTTTATTTTGTGAGAAAATTTTTTTTATTTTTATTTTTTAAAAAACAATTTTTAATTTTTTTTTTTAAAAAATATATTTGATAAACGAAACTAAAAATTATTTTTTAAATATACAAAAATAAAGAAATAAATAAAATATTTAATGATATTACTATTAAAATCATTTAATTATAAATAAAATATATATTTATTAGTTAATGACATTAAAAAATGTTCAAATATGATAACTTGTAAAATCTAAAGAAAAAAATAATATACATCCCTTATTTTCACAATTGAAAAAAATTTTTTTTTGTTTTCATATTTCAATTCATTTTCATTTTTATTTTCTAAAAATTTATTTTCATTTTCAATTATCACACGTTTTAACTCATGTTTTTTATTTTTCAAAAAAAAAAAAGAAAACAAAAAATGGTTATGTTTTTTGAAACCAAATACTATCTAAAATTCTTTTTTGTTTTCATTTTTTAAAAAATAAAAAAGTAAGAGTAAAAATATATTTGAAACAACGTTTTCAATTATGAAAACACAAGATGTCCATTCTAAGCTAAATTTTATGTTGTTCAAAAAATAAAATAAAAAAACGCATTCTTCAATAACTTTTCCTAACAAAAGATATTTGTAGATCTACTTTTAGAGGAGCAAATGGTTGAACATTCTTATTTGGTTTAAAAGAAACGATATATTTAGGAGCTGGATCGTTGTAGAGCTAAGCCAAATAATTGAGAAAAAAAAAAATAGATTCGAATAGTTCGTTTGGATTGATTTTTATCCTCTTTGTTTTTTTTTTTTTTCGGTAGGAGTAGAAAGCAAGAACATTCCGTCGATTTTTAAGTTCAAATAAATTATTTAATGAAGCTGAAGTGCATTTTTTAATCAAATTTTATTTTAAAATTTTTATAAAATAAAATAAATATTTTATTTTTAAATCAATGTAAATAAGGTTAAAATATTATTACAATTTATTTATTTTTCAAAAATAAATAAATCAAATTATTTCAAATAGATAAAATTTAATTCTGATTATTCAATTATGAACACTATTTGGTGTGATTTAAAGAAAATCAAAATACTCTCATTAACTAATTTTTGCCAAAAAATAAGCCAATGGAACCATTATCGGCCTTAGTTGATGATAGTGGTGATAACAATTCGAACCAGATTGTATTTATTTTGATTTTTTTGAATAATACATTAAATTATGAATTTTTAAAATTTGAACTAAATTTTTATATGATCCGATTCTATTCAAATCGAATTCTACCAGTTCG